TAGTTTTGATGCAAAAACGCATGATCGCACCGGCTCGCCTGGTGCGTTCCAGCCTTTGTTTTTCCTAATCTGTGGAAACACGCTCAAGTTCGACTTATTTTTTTATGCGTTTTTGCTGTGCAGCCAGCAGAAGCGCATACTGTCGAGAGGTCGTCTGCGTGTGTGTTCGAAAACAAGTGAACCTTGTTACCCATTTTCATCTCAGCAACCAGAAAAGCTGGGGGGCTGAAATTTTGTGTATCATCGTGTATCATCCTTCCGTTTTAAAATTCTCGCTCATACGCGCCTAAACCTCGATTCAGCTGTCGCGCACGTTTGTTCAGCGCGTATGGCCACGTCAAAGTTTGCAACTTGATACTGTGCTAATTCAAAAACTTACCGAAAAACAGTGGTTAAAAATTTGTCAGTATGTTTATCGCTCAACGGGGAATCGTATACCGAAATTGAGTTCCGACTTGCACTTGCGCCACGACTTAGGGCACTTCAAAATATTTGTAACGTAGTGGCTATTTCGCTTCCCGGATAAGATGCGAGGCTGAGACTTCGCTAGGATATTTTACTTTCAAGTGCGGTTTTAATTCTGCTTGGAAGTGAAATTATTGCAGGTGGTTACGAAAAATACTCAACTTTACTGAAAAATCAGAAACGAGTGCGTTTTGTAGCGGACGACCGCCCTCATCCAAATATGTAGACGAACATTCAGTTCACTTGGATTTTTTGACGAACGACTGCTCTAGCAACACTTTCACTTTTTAGTGGACTGGAAATTTGCATTTTTCCAAAAAGTGGGCTTTTGCCGAAAAAACGGCTGGACTCCGTGCAAAAAACTAATAATCATGTACCTAGAGCTCCTTGCATCCCTACAATGCAACACCTACATCCCAACCGACGCCTTTTCTCCTGCATGCCGGAAGAGGCCAGAGCACGGCCAATATGAGCTCATGTCTCAGGTTACAGAGCAGGGATCATTCCTGCTATTAGCGACCCGCGACTTTGGTGCAGAAACGCACGATCACACTGGCAAGCCTAGTGCGTCCCAGCCTGGGTTCATATATGCAAATGCAACCCAGGCTGCAATGCATCAGGCTTGACTGTGCGATAATGCGTTTTTGCGCTTAGATTGCAGGCCGTTAAACAACAATGGTTCCTGTCTCATAGTTTAGCACTTACACTCTATCGGTCGCGTTTCGGCCTTTGTCTGCACGGAGGGAAAGGGAATCGGTTCGGGGTGGAAGTCTTACATTGAGGGGCGCATGGATCTCCAGCGTGCATGATTATCAATTTTCTGCATGAAGCCCTGTTGTTTTTTCGGTGATTAGTGGTTCATCGGATAATTGTGAATTTGAAGGAAATCGGAAGAAGATTACGAAATCTGCAAAATGCATTCTTTTTTAAGTCTGCAATTATTTGTGTGTTTGCGATGTCTGCGCGCGGGGAATTACATCTTCAATCTGAATTAAGATCAAAAATCAATATAGAATATCTCAGCAAAGTTTCAGCTTCGCAGTTTGTCTGGTCGACGAAATAGCCCCTTCGCTACAAATATATCTTTGAAGGGCTCTAAGTTATGGTGTACGGTTTTATACACGAACAGTAAATGTTTTGACAAAATTTTAGCTGCTGTTTTCCGACTACTTTTCGAGTTAGCACAATGCCAACTGCAAACTTTGACGTGACCGTACGCGCGCAGTAACTGAATTTGAAATCTTTAGCTCATACATGCAAAGAGGATATTCCTAGAAAGTTATAGCTTTCTATCTTATCCATTTTACAAAACCGTTTCTTGTCAAAGAAATATGCATATTTTTTTCCGGGGTCCGTACGCAAGGTCTAGGCGTGTATGAGCTAAGATTAATAAAAATAATTGGCCAACGTACAGGCTGCTCGTGCGAAGATGCTTTTTTTGCATAGTTCCCCGCAGTTTTTGTTGCTGGCGGCACTGTTTTTTCTAGCTAAAAGAATTTCAGACTGGCCACCAGGATTGTCAGGAAACATCTCTCCAAAATTCCAGTCTTCTAGCTTCTCAAGTCTCCGAATTAGCAACTTATCCGAAAAAAATTTCACAGGCCCATACGTGAGAATGATTCATACTCGGGGATTAGGTTTGAACTCACTGACACCTACGTGAATGTGGAACCTTCAACCCTTGAAACCCATCTTCGCACGGGCAGCCCGTACATTGACCAGTTATTTTCTTCATATTTTATAATATTTTTCTTATTTACTAATTATGATTTATTTTTAACTATTTTGGGAATTTAGAACCCCTTTATACCTCCCATTCTAGGGGAAGACCGACTCTGGTCGTATGTTTTTTCTGATATGCCTCTCCATCCAGTTGTTTTTCCAGGATCTGGAGTGTTGCTGTTCCCTTTACATTTTCCATTCTAGAGGCGGTTTCCTTCCTCTTTGCTGGTTCTCGTTGTCATGCAGAAATAGTCTTTCTTTTTTTTTATACATATATGTATTTCATAATATTTTTCTTATATATATTTTATAATATTTTTCTTATTAGGTGTCGCTCTTCCTCCGTGACGTATCGAGCTTCTTCCTGTTTGGGAAAACCACGTGGTAGGACGAAGTTTGATCGTACCTGGCTGCAGGGGGTAAGAGAACTTGGGTCGTGTCTGCGAACGTCCCTGTTTCCGGGAGTGACCAGTCCAGCTTGAATTGGCATTCCTTTAGCGTTATTTGATCTTTGTGATATCTGCTGACACAGAGCAGTTGATATCTCATTTTTCTTTTCTTTCCTATGGTGGACAGATGCTGGATAGCTGCGGTTACGTTTTGAACGTCTCTACCCTCGTTGACTAATGCCTCACAGTCTCCTGCTGCCGCGCTTGCCCCGGTCGTGCTAGCTGTGAATAGCGCGGGTAAGTCCGTTTTGTTCCAGAGCTGTTTGGGTTGCTTCACTCCGCATATAATCAACTGACTACAGTTGCTGATGAGTATCTTATCCAAAGCATATATTTCCTCAAGATTATGCGCTGAGTCAAATTCAACGCGGGTTTCTGTATTTATAGTATTTATAACCGGGATTGTGTTTCGAAGCTCCCTCGGAACTCTCTGCGAAAGTACGCAGTTTGCCATGTCTTCGAACAACTGGACCACTGTGTATTCGACTGGCTCAATAAATTCTATCAGTGGTCCATATATAATACAACCCATTCCGGTAAGAAGGCTTTGTTTCCTGCGCAGCCGTAAAGGTATCTTCGGCCAGTGCAGCTCGCTTCCGTTTTGGTGCCTCTGCGGCAAAATCAGAAATGTGCATCTGCTGAAATTTCGTAATAAGCCCTGGGATAGGCTGTCGTTGGAATGAAATATTTTTGTTGTAAAAAGTGTATTTTCTAGGATGCCCATGATGAGCAGAATAGCTGGTACTCGGCAGTTCTCGAAAACGTGAAGTAGGACGCCCAGATAGGGCAGTTTCAGTTACACTTGATAATTTAGGATGCCCATGATGGGCAGTTTGTGCAGCTACTTGTGAAGATATAGGAAGCGCATGATGGCAGTTTCATCGTTTGCTTGCAGGAGTGATGTAGATTGCCCATGATGAGCAAGATTCTGAGATCGGTTTTCTGTGAAAAGTGATCGCATTGGCTGATGTTGCAGCCGTATTTCTCCTGCTCTAGATGGTTGATCCGAACTTCTGATAGGATGCCCGTGATGGGCGTTGTTTGAAAATTTTTGATAGTCAGATATCTGAAAAATGTTGCATTAAGACGTATGTGCGTGCCTTTTTTTTTTGATGAAACAGACTGCACGCACTTCAGCAAGAACGTACAAGATGCCAATATGTGTCAATGCATAAGCCCTAAAAATAGATTCCTCATTAATCCACAGTAGTCCAGAAGTCCACGTTAGACCAAGTAAAGCAACCAGTGCTACTGATCCTTTCAGCTAACTCCGAAAATTCTTGAGCGATTCACGATCTTGTTTGCACGGGGTATAACCGATATATGAATGACTATACACAGTGAACAGCATCAACATCAGGAAGACAGTGTTACAAAGTACTACAATCACCACCAGTCCAGCAAACGCCAGGATGAAGTAGTTGTCCGATCTCAACCAGCAATGCCGTTTCGTACCGTAGCTAAACCGATCAAACCAGACGGATGCAGCAACGACTGCTAGCGAAAATCCGTAGCCAAACAGAAGAAATAGCGGCCTTTTAGAATCCTTTGTCTGGATTCCAAAAGGCCGCTATTTCTTCAACAAGCATATATTATAGCTCGAAACCCAGCAACATCCACGCAAAAGCAGCAAGGAAGAAATAATGCAACATGCCGGCAGTTATGTTGCAGCATAAAGAATGTTTAATTTGCCAGATGTCACCCAAAAAGACCGCTTCAGTAATCAGCAGTGAGAAACATAAATTTTTGTGCATAAAAATTCGATCGCCACCACTTGTACCGAAACACTGGAATGAAAACAGCCAAAGCAGCAGGCAGATTATCGACAGCGTACATCCGAAATATATGACGAAAGTAAGCGCCACGCTGTGACCAATCGAGAGCCCCCAATAATGAATATCCATGAGGAGTGCATAATGAGTCAAATGGTAGCAGTAGCAAATTGTGTGTGCTTGGTTATGCAAAAGGTCCTGATAGGATCTTTCTTCATTTTTTTTCTTTATATTTTATAATTTTTTTCTCATTTGCTAATTTTTTTCATTGTTAACTATTTTGAGACTTTAGAATTTCAAGTTCTTTATAGATTTTAAAACGGAGAGGTTACACAAGGGCGGGAATATGTTCTCAAAATTTCAGCTTCCCAGCCTTACTGGTTGTTGACTTGAAAGTGGTAACAGAGTTCACTTGTTTCCGAACTCTCACACACGGACAACTTCTCGACAGTATGCGCTTTTGCTCACTGTAGCAGTACTATAGCGCTGCACAGCAAAAATGCATAAAAAAGCATATTGGCAAGAGGGTGTGTGTGTGTGCATCTGTGTGTTCGCACTTTTTGTCACCCACTTTCAATTCGAACACTAGAAAAGCCAGAAGGCCAAAATTTTGGGAGTATGTTTCTACACCATTTACGACCCTCCCGTTTTAATATCATCACTCGCGTTTTAATATTATCTCGCGTTTTAATATCACTCGCCTTAAAAAAATACGCGGATGTTTTGGCAGAAAGCGATTTCGGGAACCAAAAAAGATGGAGAGTTGAAAATGGGATATTCTCTGCGTATGTAAGCTAATAATTTCAGATTCAGCCCATCGGCATGCATGGTTCTCATATAAGGGCACTTGAAAACTTTATCGGGAAGATTACTAACTCGGCAGTCAGAAAAGCTGGGAGGTTGCAATTTTTAGGGTACATTCCTCCCCAAATGCAACTTAAAGATTTTGAATTTAGTCTCCTCCCCTCCCTCTGTGATAAACGTGGTAGCCACGTGCAAGCATGTAAAAGTGTTGGCGGGAAAACTGACTCAGGAACCAAAAAAGCTAGAAATCTGAAATTTTGGGGGATGTCCCCTGTCCAAGTACAGCTTAAATATTTCAAATTAAGCCTCCAGATAAGCGTGGTTTTCACATACAAGCACTTCAAAGTTTTTACGGCAAAAATGCTTACTAAGCAACTGGGTCTTTTTCAAAGAACAGCCTTTATACGAGAATTGTTTATTTACTTTATTCAAAATTTATGGTGATTTACGCTAGTGAGCACAAAAGGTAGGTGTCTAGCAACAACCATTCATACAGTTAATTACCTGAGTACTTCAGGTCTGGTGCAAAAACATATGACTGCACCGGCGAGCCTAATGCATTCCAGCCTGCATTTCTTTTCAAAAACCATGAACTGAAAAATCTTGGGTCAGTTCAAAACTTGACCAGTTTATAACTATATTTAATTAATACAAAAATCCGTCAGATCAAGAACATTCATTCGATTGGTAGTACCAATGCATACATAATTATGTCCTGACTTATGAATTTATGTTAGGCATATAATGCCAGAATGAACTATAGCAAAGTTGAAATTTTGATACTTTCTGTGTAATGCTTAGTCAAAAGCTATTATAACAAAGTAAAATTAACCATTTTTGTTTTGTCGCATGTCCACTGTGAATTCCCAATTTTGGCAAAAAAGTATAGTTGCGCCAAGTTGGTGCGTACCGTTATTTTTTGTAAAGCTTCTTAGGTGCTATTTGTTGACATCCGTTCTTCTTTCCAAGTGACTAAAACCAGATGTCTTCGAGAATGTAAAACTTTTTGCTAATTTTCTTATTTTGTGAATGCTTCAAGTAGGAATATGCCCGATGTATTCTTTGTGCAGACATAATTTTATCTTCAAAGTACGATTTTAAAAAATCAGCTAATTTAGTCCGACTGACAAAAATAAGTTTTAGTTAGCCAGTCCGCCTTTCCCTCCAGAAGCTGAAAGCTCAGTTGCAACTAGAGAAAGTAACCAAGATCATCTGCTGGATGATTATTTAGTACTTCTATTTTAGGAATAACTTATCAGCAGCACGGCGATTTGTGCAAAGATTTCAGTGATTTATTATAACCTACTCAAGTTACTCACTATCTTAGGAGTGTATTTTCAGCTAAATAATAAACAGTCGTATACTGAACGGCCATCACCGTATCAGCAGCCAAATTATATGTCTTCATATTATTCTAATCAACAATATTATTCGACTGAGCAAAAAAGGTTCGTTTTTATTCACTGCCTAATTCACTGAAGCCCAACTGGAAAATTTGGAAGAAGCTGCGAATTGTGTATACACTATTACTGGCGAACATAGTAAGCGCATCGACGCAAACACTTTTTTGGTTTGTTTATTTTGTTACGAATTTTGTTACGCATCAAAAAACAGCCATCAGCAAAATAACCACAGTGTTTGGTAGAACCATATTTTTTAACAAAAACTGACGTGAAATTGATTAACAAAAATTTCCACTAAAAATTTAAGAAATGCTACTAACACTTGTTTTTTAAATTATCTCTTCTGAAAGAAAAGGAAGTGCTCGGCTGCCTTCCCCCTTTTCGGTTTTGAGTGGAAAAAACAGCGAGGAATGCTGCACATGGAAGAGCCAGAACTAGTGTGTTTACGAGTCTAATTTCAACTGGAACCAACCTAATTCTGATAGCAAAAGAACTACTTATGACGGAAATAGGTCAAAGAATTACTATTTTAGTAGTGATGTTGACGCTGGCAGGCAAAGAGACACATCTTACATCAACGATCCAAAATCGTATATTCGGGCTTACGCAACGCAAACACCTGCATACACAGTGATGAATTCTCCAAGTAGTGGCGGCTATCAAACAAGTAGAAATTACCGCGGTACCCAGCAAAGTACACGCAGCAGCACTGACGACACTTATCATTTCGTCAAGAATTTGCGTGACGAAAGTATGTGTTCACTGAACTGTTACTTATGTCTTTATTCATTTTTATGCGTTTTTTCTGTGCAGCGCTATAGCGCTGCTACAGTCAGTAAAAACGCATATTGTCGAGGGGCTGTCTGTGTGTGTGTGTGTGTGTGTGTGTGTGTGTGTTCAGAAGCGAATGTATTTTGTCACCCACTTGTATCTCAGCAACCAGGAAAGCTAGAAGGCTGAAATTTTGGGTCTATGTTCCTACCTCGTGTGTTATCCCCCCGTTTCAAGATGTTCCCCACACGCGCCTAAACCCCGCATATGGCCCCCCAAAAAAATATGTTGACGGGAAACGATTTGACGATACAGGCAAGGTAGAAAGCTAAAAATTTGCAGGGATATTACGTATGCACGTGGGTGCTAAAGATTTTAAACTCAGCTTTCGAGCATCCCACCAGCCTCAAGCAGCTCCTCAACCCAAAAATCGTTAAGAATCCATTGCAACCCGGCCCCGAACCTCAATCGTATTTGTAAATGAAGAATAGTTCATCTCCATACATGTATTTTCTGACAAACGACCGTTCGAGCAATACTTTCACTTCTTAGTGAACTGGAAATTTGCGTTTTTTCAAAGATCTGCATTTGTTATTTTTTCACAAAGCGAGCATTTACCGAAAAAACGACCGGGGTTCATGCAAAAAACCGGTAATCATGCACCTGGATGTTCGTGTGGCTCTATAATGCACCACCTGCATCCCAACTGACTCCCTTCCTCCTGCATGCCGGAAAGAATCAAAGCACGGACAATATGAGCCCAAGTGTTAGGCTACAGCGTAGGGGTCATTCCTGCTAATAGCAATCTGCGAGTTTAGTGCAGAAACACATGATCGCACTGGAAAGCCTGGTGCGTTCCAGCCTAGGTTATGCGCTTTTGCTGTGCAGCGCTGTAGCGCTGCTACAGTGAGTCAAAACGCATACTGTCGAGAGGTCGTACGCGTATACGTGTTCGTGTGTTTGTGTGTGTCTGTGTGTGGAAACAAGTAAAGTATTTCACCCTTTTTAAACTCAGTAACCAGGAAAACTGGGAAGCTGAAATTTTGGGGGCATATCCCCACTCTATGTATCATCCTTCCGCTTTGAAATCATTGATCATACGCATTTAGAACTCACCTTTAGATCTGCGAAAAAATATGCAGATTACTTCGGCGGAAAACGATTTCGTGGATCAGAGAAGACAGAAAGCTGAAATTGTGAAGGGGTATTATCTGTTCATGTGCGAGCTAAAGATTTTAAAATCAGCTATCGTGCACGCTTATACCATGCGCACAATAACGTCAAATTTCGCAATTGGCACTGTACTAACTCGAAAACTAATTCAAGTTTTGTGCAAAAACGCATGATCGCTCCGGCTCGCCTGGTGCGTTCCAGCCTAC